AACACCGAATTAAAACCGCGACCAGGATTAAACCCGAGAAAAACATTCGTGCTGGATTAAGCCTCTACACTCCTCCGTGCCTCCACCCCAGTGAACGGACAAGATTCTGATTCAAGATTCAACGGTACAGAACTGTCCATCGACAAGGTATTTATCAACCCGCGATTCGGTTGTAAACTCTCTCTCTCCGCGGCCTAGTATAGTTAAGACCAATAATATGCCGATAGTATTTAGTATCTCTGTATAGTATTTAGTTCGACTTAATTAAAATCGTTATTTATTTGTTACTATGGAGTCCGAGTAAGTTACTTCCGCGTCTCTCTCCTCACCTCTACTCCGAATCCAAGCGCTCACACGCTACCGCTCGCGAATCTTTAGACTTAACGTCGCGATTTCCGAGTCCCCTAGAGACTCAGTGGTGTCATCCTGACAGGGCGCCAAAGAGGTGCCGACCCTACGGTCACATTAGACAGTTTTTCAATGTTTTAATGTACAGTACATTACAGTGTTCTCAGATAATAATTAACACAATTACAATAATTTAAAATAGCAGCATTCATTTTGAAAGACACCGTATTAAGTACTATTATCCCAGCTTCAATTTTGTGTGTTTGTGCTTTGATGGGATACAGTAGAGCATGGATTATCTGACTCAATTGGGGACTCGGGTTGGTCGGATAACTGAAAAAATCGGATAACCAAAAAGAATGAAAAAAATACATTATTAGTATAGTGTCTTAGTATATCCCATGTATATAGTATATTAGTATATCGCTATTAACCTACTTCGCGTTGAATTTTCATTGATGTTAAGCATAAGAAAATTTTTTAAAAATAATAATCGTCGCTATTGTATTGTTAAAAATTATTTTTAAATTATTTTATTACTCACAAAACGAACAACCACTCATAATTAGAAAATTAAGTCTCGTTTAAATTAAATACTGGCCTCTCTTTCATGGTCAAGCCAGTGTTGCCAGCTAAAACATGCAAAAATAATCTTAAAGTAGCCAAGACATACCCAAATATTGTAGCGCCACATCACTAGCGGACATTTGAAATTTGCCGACTAGAACGGTCGGTTAACCAATATGACGGTTAATCGGGGGTCGGATAATCGATGCTCTACTGTGTTTATATTTTCGTGATGATTGAAAATATCTGTTTATAATAATAAATACTTTATTATTATTATTTTTTTATAGGGTTTAAATTACATAGCTGGAATACTTTTGCTCATAACAGAAGATGAAGAAATAACATTTTGGTTATTAAGGATATTAGTTGAAAACATTTTGCCAGACTATTATACCAAAGAAATGATAGGTTTAAGAACAGATTTAGAAGTTTTTTCTGAATTAGTTAAGTAAGTAATTTGCCATTTTTAAATTAAATATTATTTATAATAAAAAATTTTAAACTTGTTAATTAATTTTATTTTGAGATTTAAATTGATTTGAATTTTAAACTGTAAAAAATAATATGGCTTAGTTGTAAAGATAAAAAACAAATTATTAATATATTTTGTGTAATATATTAGACAAAATTTATTAATTCCAATTAAATTTCATTATGGTATTAATCACTAATAATAGTTAATATTTTTGTGAACTTGTATATTTATTTTTGTGGTTTGCAATGATATGAACTATTTAAAATTGTTGTTGAATAAAAATTTAATAAGTTTTACAAAATTATCAGAAAATGAAACTTGTTTGAATGACATAAAAATAAAATTAGAAAACATTAAATTATTAAAGATTTAAATCCAAATGTATTAATTTTGTCTGAAAAATTTATATACTAGCATGTGATGGATACAAATGGCTAGTACTTTACAAAAACTTAAAACCTTAATTTTTTTTATTACTATTAATTTTTCAATCCCTACATTTTTTTATTTTAACCAGTTTTTGTTTTTATGTTTATTTTACTTAATTTTGTACTATGTTAAAGTGTACTGCAGTGTGGGGTGGACCAGAATGAATAAACCTGTACTGTATTTTAATTTAGTTATCCATTTTTGTATTTTATTTATTTGATTTAACCACATTTATATATGTTGTGAATATCATCTATATTTATTTTAAATTTAAATCAAAACTTTATCGCAGACATTTGAATTCTAGCAGTAACTACACATTTATATTCAGAACATGTTCTTAAGTTCTGTCAAGGTAAAGAATTTTTTAAAATTACTATTCAAATTTTGTGTGTTCTTTGTTCACCTGAGGATGGCATTTTGAAATGTTGAAAGTACTTGCATGTATTTAATTTGTCAAGAAATAAATTTAATGCCTAAAGACAGTATATTTCCTCCATAAAAGTTATTTGATAAATTTTTTTTGTTTCTAAAATTTCTAAATATTAGGAATTTTAGAAACAAAAAAAGAGGAGTCAAAGAATTAATCTTAAAATACATTTTTTATTAGAAAAAAATTCAAGTGTTAAAGAAATGTACTTAAATAATGGATAAAAATGGTCATAAAGTAATGATAATATACTTATATAATACTTAATCTTTGACTCCCTTTATAAATAATCTTTGACACATCTTCATGTTGCCAGATTTTGAGATGTGAATTCTTCATCAGCAGCTTTGAAATTCTCCATTTGGTTTCGTTTTTCTTCGTTTTTACATATTTTAGAAAGGGCAATTATCAAAATATCTGCTTTTCTGTATTAGTTTTATAAATTTGTATATCAAAATAAATTAACTGAAAAAAACTGGAATATAACCTATTTGAATGTGTTTTAGAAATAATAAAGAATTTACTTTTAACAAATAAGGAATTTATTTATACTATAATAAAATGATCTAAAAACAGAATACAGTCAACCCCCCTATAACGTACGTTCCTATAACGACAATTCCTATAACGTAGCGAAAAAATTGTAGTAACTTTCGTATAACGTACCTCCTATAACGTCGTTTCGCGAGAAGATTGATAGAGTCTGGACCAATAGTGGATGAGCAGCCGAACTACTTTCCTCCGACCCTGCGCCACGCTACGGAGCGGCTAAATTGAGTTTGCTATCGTCTGTTTAGTATTATATATAAATTATATATAAATTAGGTACTGTACATATAATTATATATTAATTATATATAAATTAGGTACTGTATATATAATTATATATTAACTTAATTTATTGTAACTTTATTATAATTATATATATGCTTTCTGCCGCCTGGCAACACGCTACGGAGATTTTAGGCTAGTAAGTTGAGTTTATTATCGTCTGCACAGTATGTAAATTAGGTACCGTAAGTCTAATACAGCACTAATTTTATACATTTCTTGTGAAAGAAACACTTCTTATTCAACGGCCATAAAAATTATTTATATTAATGATGTCTCCAAAGGTCAAGTTATTTTTCTGCGAAAAATTCTTTATCAGAAATCGCGGCCGTCCCACGACGAAAACCAGCTTTAAGCAACGGCGTAGTCGAACGGTACACACTCGGTAAGTAATCCTATAATTTTTTGTTTATAGCATAGTTTATACGGATTATTCCCAAAAAATTATACGTGTTTTGGAAATGTTGAGTGGAATTAGTCTAGAATCGGTTAATTTTATAGAAGAAAACCTTTCGAACAGCCTTAGTCCGTAAAGTTCCCACCTATCGGGCTGCGATTGGCTCATGTATTTAATCATTCCTACAACGTAATTTTCGGTTAGCGTGGAACGTATCTAAGCGTTATAGGGGGGTCTACTGTACAGTGAACCAACTAATCCTCACACTATGCTATTAGAGAATAATTAGAACTAAAACTCATTAAAATGTGTAAAGTTAGGATTGTACCAAAAATTTCTAGTTTAAAAAAGGGAGATAAAGTAGGGTTAAAAAAGTGTGCAGAATAATGTTATAAAAAATAACATATAATATATTATAGATGGTATATGATAATACAGTAGACCCCCCTATAACACTTAGATACGTTCCACGCTAACCGAAAATTACGTTGTAGGAACGATTAAATACATGAGCCAATCGCAGCCCGATAGGTGGGAACTTTACGGACTAAGGCTGTTTGAAAGGTTTTCTTCTATAAAATTAACCGATTCTAGACTAATTCCACTCAACATTTCCAAAATACGTATAATTTTTTGGGAATAATCTGTATAAACTATGCTATAAACAAAAAATTATAGGATTACTTACCGAGTGTGTACCGTTCGACTACGCCGTTGCTTAAAGCTGGTTTTCGTTGCGGAACAGCACATGAAACGGCGGCCGCGATTTCTAATAACGAATTTTTCGCAGAAAAATAACTTGACCTTTGGAGACATCATTAATATAAATAATTTTTATGGCCGTTGAATAAGAAGTGTTTCTTTCACAAGAAATGTATAAAATTAGTGCTGTATTAGACTTACGGTACCTAATTTACATACTGTACAGACGATAATAAACTCAACTTACTAGCCTAAAATCTCCGTAGCGTGTTGCCAGGCGTCAGAAAGCATATATATAATTATAATAAAATTACAATAAATTAAGTTAATATATAATTATATATACAGTACCTAATTTATATATAATTTATATATAATTATATGTACAGTACCTAATTTATATATAATACTAAACAGACGATAGCAAACTCAATTTAGCCGCTCCGTAGCGTGGCGCAGGGTCAGAGGTAAGTAGTTCGGCTGCTCATCCACTATTGGTCCAGACTCTATCAATCTTCTCGCAAAATGACATTATAGGAGGTACGTTATACGAAAGTTTCTACAATTTTTTCGCTACGTTATAGGAATTGTCATTATAGGAACGTACGTTGTAGGGGGGTCGACTGTATGTATTTATTATATTTGGATTTATTATCAAATTTTCTGTAATTGCTATATACTTATGCCAGGGTACGTTTAAGTCTCTGATTCAAACGAAACCTGGTGAGCATATAGTGTTAAACACAAATAGCGCCTTGTCAAAATAATAGGACCACTTCTCAAGCATTTCCCAAAAACAAGCCTCTGAAAATTTAGTGTTTAGTTAATAAGTCTTTGAAATTTCTGTGTCTCTGAGTGGTGATAACTGAGTGGATAAGATACTACGCACTGAAGCTAGATGATATCGATTTGAACCTTTGAAATTTTAGTTTAGTTTTGTTTTTTAATTTGTAACTTTATCATTTTACTGCATCATTAGCATTAGTATTACTATTATTATTCCTCACGTTTAAAGCTCATAAAACAACATTAAAAATTATGATGTCATTTCTCATTTAGAAAAAATAAATCTTGTAGTTTTCACTCATAGCTTCTAGTCTTTTTTTCTTTTTAGGATTTTATTCTTTTTTATAGCTATATATTTTTTGGCTATTATCATACCATGATTTCTTAACTTGGTTTTTTCCTTTTATTAAAAAAAAAATGCTGCGACTATGCTATCCTATTTTCATATCACTTGTCTTTTTCATTCCTGTGCAGTAATATCTGAAGCTTATTCACTTGTGAGGACATAGTGTGTAATCATGCATAAAAATATGTGAAAATAAATGTGATGAAATAAAACTTATATTTAATGACATAAAGAGTTAAATCTACAAAGGCTTGTTTTCGCTAAACAGGAAATTATGTCACAATTTTAAATTTCTTGTTTTATAAGCTTTAAACATGAGGAATATATTACTAATAATGATATGGTAAAATAATAATGTTGTACATAAACTGAACTAAAATTCCAAAGGTCGAACATGTCTAGAGTCTAGAGTCTAGCTCCAGTGCAGAGCATTTTATCCACTTGGCTATCACCACTTGGGGACATGAAACTTTCAAAGACTTAAAAGCTAAACACTAAATTTTCAGAGGTTCTTGGATTCTTGGAAAATGCTTGAGAAGTGGGCCTTATTATTTTGACTGTTTATGTTTAAGGCTACTTGCTACCAAGTTTTGTTCAAATTGGAGACCCAAATGTTCAATTCTCTAATTGTTAGGAATAGGATTCGTTTTGGGATAATTTTTTAATGAATAATTTTGAATAACACATTTGATCAGTGTTTAAACAGTACTTCACAAGTTCTGTCGTGTCAAAATTTTTGTTTTAGTCTACTGAAAAAAGATCAAAGTGGAAAAAAAAGTCATCCCAAAAATTCCCCAAATTTTCTGTCAATCAACAAAAATCCCCAATCTGGAAATTCTGGGCAGAATTGCACAAAACTGCCTTCGGTTCTCATCATCACTTCCTTTTTTTCTGCCTGAACCGTTGATGTCATGAAATCGCTAGATGTGTGGTGCATAGGACTCCCATTCATGGAAGCTCAGCATTTTGCTGTTTTTCCTGAAGTGTGATTTGTGACTCAGTTTCATGCTGAATGTTGAAACAAGTTGATTAGTGTTTTCATCACCACTTTAATAAAAATATCTCCAAGTGGTGATCTTGGTACTATACAGCACAACCCCTGAAGATATCAGTATTTTGATTTGAGTTTTTATCTTTGCATAATCCATTAATACTAATCCAATGTGAATGACTAAAACTTAAAATTATCATAAAATAATTTAATTTATTTTAAAACAGTAATAAGTTTATTACTTAAGAAAATTAAATCATCATCTGAAATAGACTAATTTGTAAATTTTTTATAAAATCTCTGTTGGATCAAAATGATTCCAGTATATTTGTTATACAATAAGTGTAGTTATGTGAAGCATCAAACTTTATTTTTAACTTATTACAAATCATCATTAAAAGCTAAGAATGTTTTCTCATTTAATAACTTTTGAAAATAAACACCCACAACTGCTATAAATAATCAGGCTATAATTTGGAAATATTAATTTAAAATATTATAGCTCAATTATTTATGGCAGTTGTGGGTGTCTATTTGCTATGCATTGGGTTTTGGTTGGTGTTTATATTTGAATAACTTTGAATTCTAAAGAATTTATATTATTTTAATATAAGAAAGTTTCATTTCATTTTTTTTTCTCCTTTATACTGTAAAACTATTAAATTATATTTGCTACTTGTGTAATAAAGACTATTAATTTTTTTATAGAATAAAAGTACCTGATGTTTATAATCACATGAAATTACACAATGTTGCATGGGCTATTGTTATCACAAAATGGTTTATATGTTTATATGCTGAAGTTCTACCAATTGAAGTAAGTTTTGTTTTTTACTTATTAAAAACACTTAAACACATTAGCAACCATGTATGTCCATAATAATGCATTCAATCTCTAACTGTTAATTTTGTTTTATTAATTGCAATTTGAAAACAAAACTTTGTTTTTTTAGTCATTCAAAAATTAAAACCTAAAAAAAATCCTATTTAAAACTTTTTAAACATATTAAACTTTAATAATTCAGTGACTGCCAATTTTCCTATTGATATGCCAAAAAATTAATTTTTTAATTTTTTGTTTAATTATGTATGTAAAGTGTCAAAGGAAATTTTGCTGTAATGTTTCCCTCCTGAAAAAATGATGCTTGGACATCTATGAGCACCTCAATATACAGAAACTAAGAATGTACAGAATACTAATACAAAACCAATGGATGAAATATATTCTTTGAAGTGTACAATAAACAATAAAAATAAACTTAAAAAAATTTTATCCTTTGTTTATAAGTGATTAATATAATCAAACTTTGAGGACTCACACATGAATGTCCTCAGTATATTGGGTGAGGCAGTGTAGGGACTTTCCAAGACATCTTGGGCACTGAATATATTAAGCAAGTGATTTTCTGAATTATTATCTAAAAATTTAAATATTGTGTTTTTATTGGAAATTATTTTAAAGATATTTTTAAAATTTAATCATAAGGATTCTAAATAAGTTCCCCTAAGATTTTATTTTTTCATTGTAAATTAAATAAATATAACATAAAATTACATAATATTTCTTTTTCCATTAGACTGTTCTTAGGATTTGGGATTGTCTGTTTTATGAAGGTTCAAAAATATTATTCCGGGTTGGTATTACGATGATAATCAAAAACAAAGAAAAGATCCTAAAGGCACGAAATTTTTCTGAAATAGCAGAAGTTTTCAAAGGCATAACTCAAGAATCAGTTGTGATAGAATGCCATTCCTTTATGCAGGTAAAAAAAATCAACTAATATAGTCCTCAAAAATTATTTAATAATTAAATTAATAATAATTAGTACCTAACAATAACTGAAATTAAATTTTTATGTAAAATATTTTGTATGTTTTGTAAACATTTCCTTTGAAGTTTTATAAATATTCTGTTAGAATCTAAAATAAACAAATTTTATATGGATGAGAAGTGCTGAAATTCTATCTTTTCTCTGTAAACCTTCCAAGTAAGTATGAGAATTTAAACTTGGAAGGTTTATAGAGAAAAGAAAGAGGAAAACAACAAATTTTATGTTTTTTAATAGTTTTATTTTAAGAAAAAACAAATATATTGTATATACACACAATTCTGTTTTTACATGGTGGATACATTTCTGAAAAAATCTGTCTAAAAAACCATATAAAAAAGATACTGAAATGGAAGATTGATTCCATTTGTCCATATGGACAGCACTTGAAAAAAATAATACAATAAACCAATTAATATAATACGATGTGTTCAAACAAACTACAGTAGTTTCAATAGTTTGAGTTGATTGGGAATGAGGCAACCTCAAACTATGGAAAGTTTAAAATATGTGGAAAATATATATACAATGGAAAACAGTAGTGAGTAAAGGGATTAAATAATGTCATGTTTACTTTGTAATAATAAACACAACATTAATTAACACAACAATAATAGTAAAATATTGCACTTTAAAATACATGATGTTTTGTACAATGGAGACAAGTAACAACCATATCCAGAATTATCTAGCAACCATATCATTTCACAATGCAATAAATTGTAAGCTGATGTTAAACCTTGGTACATGCTACAGTTTCAGTGTATGGTGTCTCATTGCATACTTGATTTGAATTACCCAAATTGTAATTTTTACATGTTCTGGTTGAGTGTGTACTTTGGTTTAAAGATGGTAGTGCCTCAAACTTTGGAGATTCTACTGTATTTCAATTTTAGTTAATAAGTCAGAGGAGGGGCAATTGTAAATTAGCAAATTTGTTTATTGCAAAATTACAAAGACTATGCCATAGCCAGCAGTTCCCAAAGTGTGTGCCGCGACACTCTAGGGAGCTGCAGCTTCCTCACAGGGGCGCCACAAAATATTATAAAATTTTCATAATTTTACTTCCATTTTCAATTCAGTGTGATAACTTTAACTTTCTCAATTAAACATGAAAATACCTCTAGCTTTTAAAACCAAATGGTATACAAAAACTATTCTGTATTGAAAATATTAGATTGGATTAAAATAATCAATGCAACATGTTGGGAGGCATCCTTCCTTCATAGATTGCACAAGAATTTTTCCAGAAAAATGGCCTCTATTAAATATTTAGACATCTGAAAACAGAAAACTCTGTGACCAACTGTTGGTGGATGTGAACCTGTATATCAATATCCATTGGCCATTGGTGGCCCTGCATTGAAGTAAATTGGAAGAAATTTAATCATACATAGAAATTGTTAAACATTCAATTGAATTTTTTCTGACTGCTTCAATTGAAGCCAAAGGAACATAAAGCCATAATAATAGCAGACGATGAGGAAGAAGGCAAAATAGAAATCTTCACAGATGGCTCGAAGGTGGATGGATGAATTGGTGCTGCCTTTACGGCAATATATGAAGGCAGAGAAATATATACTGAGCAACATAAACTGAATGACTTATGTTCAGTTTACCAGGCTGAACTGCACGCTATAAAAATGGCGATGGAATGGGTGATAACAGCACAGATATCTGGCCTAATTATTGTCAATACGGCAGTAAATCAGCATTAAATACTTTGCAGCAGTTTGCTGACACCAATATGACAGCTCTCAATATTAAAAAAAAGATGATAAATCAGAGTGACATCAATATAAAAATGAGATGGATAAGAGCCCACAGCGGAATAAAAGAGAATGAGCGTGCTAAAGAGGCAGCACATATGACAGTGGTGACTCACAATAAAATCCCGATTTCGGGTATTAAGAGACTGATAAGAGATGAAACTGTAACAGAATGGCAAGATAGGTGGTCTTACTCAGAAAAAGGAAGGCATACATTTTGGCTCTTGCCAAAATATATACCTTCCTTTCTTTATAGAGGAGCAAATCAAAGACCAAAGTTGGCTCCAGGTCAACTATATCACTAGTCAAATTTACACAGGTCACAGCAATAGCTACAAATATCTCAAGAAAATTGGGAAGTGTCAGATAGATACTTGAGACTGTAGAGAGGAAACACAGAATATATGTCACTTACTCCTTAATTGTTATAAATATGAGATAGAAAGAACGGAACTCTCAACTCTCTAGTCTACACCAACTGAATACCAACACTCGGACTCTAGAACTTTACAATTTAATAAGAGACAGAAACCTTGCGGATGAACTAATGTCCTTTGTGAGAAGAATACTCATGTAAAGGGGGGAAGATAGCCATCTCCTCCACCTATCTGCCGGTAGTGTCTTGTCAAAGCTAGATAATTAATATGTACATAGCCTAAGTGTTTAATATTTCTTTTGTATGATAATTGTAAGTTTGCCTATTTGATATAATAATAAATGAAACATTATGAACATAACAAAACAAAATGAAACCTTGTGGTGCAATATTGGGACAAGGATGACTCTGATCCACATAAGGGAAAATGATGAACATCAAATAAAAAAAAAAAAAAATAGAGTTGAAATAAAAGACTGATTTTCAATTCACACATTCAAATAAGTTGTAAAAAACAGTGAAATCTTATTACAGGAGTGGAGTCTTGGAGAATGAAGTTTAGAAAGTGTTAGCAAAGAAAGTGCTTGACTATAATTACCAGCCACTCTGGAGTGAAATCTTATTACTTGAACATATGTAGCAGTCTTAAAAAAGCCTATGAATTTGCATATAAAAAGCAATTTTCTGGAACAGGAAATAAATACTTATTTTAAAATTAAAATAAAATGGAAATTGTTAAAAAGACAAATTTGTTAAATCGAAACAAACTATGTAAAAAGAAAATTGAATTTTTTTCAGGCCATGTTAAATCAAAATCATGTAAAAAAGCTTCAAGTAATAACAGAATTGGGTGTACTTTATTATTGTGAAAAAAATATAAGGAATTTAGGATACATGATGTTGACATATATCAAATGCAAATGGGTTAATTTTATTATAATAATAACTTTTTATATGAAATGAAATAAAATTGTTGATTTACAACACTTGACTGCAGATAACTAATTAAATTGATTGAAAATTAGATTGTATTTCATTTTATTAAAAATATATTTCTGATGATGAAGTTAGTAAATAAATCACATAAATCTGTTTTCCATATCTCTACTATGCAAAAATAATCTTATTCCCCAGTAAATTATTTAAAACATATATCCCTCATTGTATGCAATTTTACTTCATGCATTTTTGCTAAAGAATCAAAATATATACTGAATCTGGAGCTGGTGACAAATCAGTGTGATATGGAGGGCAATGCATTATTTCCCAACAAAAGTGTTCCAACATAACCACTATTTCATGTGCTGTGTCTGGATTTGCAATATTGTGGAGGAGAGTCATACCTTTAGTCTGAAATCCTGAGAACTAGTTGTTTGTTGCATGATGGATGTTCATCAGGGATGCAGTATATTGCTCAGCAGCAACTGTTTCTCCCTCTTCTAGAAAGTCAGTAACACCCCAATGATTTAAAAAAGACCATACATATCACTTTTTAGCCAACTGGGTTTCATTTTATTATATATGATGCAGTCAAAACACTTAATGCTTTTTAGATGCCAGGATGGAAATATTTTTAATTAACATAAATGTTTTTAGAATTTAGCACTACAACCTCAGATTCTCTTTAAAATTTTGAAAAGGATCAGAAGCTGAATTATATCATGAAAATGATCATATCTGTTGTTTGAAATAGATTCAGTTAAAGATGATGATAAATATGTGTGTTGCTTGCTTTAAGTAACAATTAATCTTACAGCCAATCATTTGTGTAAAATCTTAAAGTATCAATTTTTATAAAAATTAAAAGCAAAATAACAAAATACTTATTTAAATATATTAATATTTGTATAAAAATTATTTTTCAGGCTATATTTACTGAAACTGGATCATTTTCATCTTCATTAATTAGAAGACTAAGAGAAGAATGTCGAACAAGAGTTACTGAACAAAGCACAACATAACAGCTATGCACAATTACAATAATTTACCTGCCATATCACCCCATCTAGTCATTAAAATGCCATAAATATCAAATACTACATATTATAAAGGTACTTCATCAATGCCAATGAAACTGTTGTGCACATAGGAAAGTATTTTTAGTTGTTTGTATTTTCTACAGTTAAGCTGCAGAAATGTATATTTAAGCAATAAAAATAAAGTTATTATTGTTTAAATATTATTGAATATTAACATTGCTAGAAATTGAAAGTAGTATATAAGACATTCTAAGAAAAAGGCAAAAAAGCTTTTTTCATCTAATGAATCCATATATGATATATGCAATATATATTTTAATTTATATATACAGTATTTGTTTCAGTATGAAAGTATTGCAAATATATGATGCAGTACTATAATTCTTATTGTGATTTTTTTAAAGATGAATTTGTATGTATTTAAAGGAATTTCTGCCATTGAAGTAAAATTTTTTTTAATATATTACTTAGTTTTATTGGCAGCTTGGATGATATTAGATATTATCATTTGAAATATTAATATAGATAAAGTTGGAAAAATTGGTATAAATTTGGGAGCTTGTTATATAAAATTATATTCATTTTAATTTTTATGCTTAATGAAGAAATTGTATAAATTGTTCAAAATTGCTTCTATTATTTTATGTGCATTTTCAGTAAAAAATGAAATTTTTCTTTGTTTTGAAGCTTATATGAATTCCTATTTATTGGAATACCAATTGATTTCTGCATCTCAGGTAAATGTTATGATAGAATTAATATCACAAATTACAAATATTGACAATCAAAATGATATATGAAAGAATTTAAAAGAAAAATGTGAGAATTGGTTTCCCATTAATGCAAATTTTTAAAATTTACTAATGTTTAAGTTTCATGTAATTCATTCCAATATTATAATGTTATAATATGCAGGATGTTTCAAAACTAAATATGCAAGAAATATTTTCATGCCTTAATTAGATAGCTGTAGAATTAACATATTTTTATATGGCAGGATGTAGAATGCTTGTCAAAGATATTTGCTAATACAGTAGAGCCTCGAAAACTTGGCCTAATGTGGACCGAAGGGTGGCCGAGTTTGTGAAAATGCCAGGTTATCGGGAATGGGGTTAAAAAAGGATAAGTATGCCTGTTTCCTCAGAAAATACTGTACTGTACTTGTATGTATTGTTTGCTTGAGAATACAACAGAGAATAAACTGCCCAAATACCCTTAAACAAAGGAAAAGTACGTACTTTATGAAGGTATAGAGCCTTTACTACATGAAAATGAAAATTAATGAATACACTGTGTATAGTAATTTACCTGATAAGACAGACCTCAGAAAAATACTTTGAGGCATAAAGCTGTCTATGATGAAAATTAATTATCTAAGGGTATTTTTGCTCTGCCAGGGTGTGGCCGAGTTATCCAGAGTGCCGGGTTATCGAGTGCCGAGTTTTCGAGGCTCTACTGTAATAATGGTTGCTATATGATTTATTTTCAAATGCAGTTTGTCATTTTACGATGTCTTTAGCTTTCTTTTTGCTTGAATTGTAATTTTATGTGATAATGGCATAAAGACTAAAAAAATATTAATAAATACAATATCCCAATGATTTATGTAATTGAACGTTTACTAATAAATTGTACTTTATTGCATTTTATACAGTTCTATAACAATAATTTTGATGTAGTATTGATAGTATTTAATACATTTTCACAGCAGTGAATTACATATGAAATCCATATAAAGGTTTAGAAATAGAAGACAAACATCAATCATAGAAAATGATAGATCACCCAACAAAGGTTTCTTATTGATTCTGAATTATTATTATTATTATTTCTGTAAATAAAAGAATACACCCTTTCATAACCAGAACTAAGAGATAGAAGAGTTTATCAAAGAAATTTTTAATATTGTTTTCTGCATTTCAAAATTTTATTTTGGTTCCTTTTTGATAAAAATTATTTTTCAGGCTATATTTACTGAAACTGGATCATTTTCATCTTCATTAATTAGAAGACTAAGAGAAGAATGTCGAACAAGAGTTACTGAACAAAGCACAACATAACAGCTATGCACAATTACAATAATTTACCTGCCATATCACCCCATCTAGTCATTAAAATGCCATAAATATCAAATACTACATATTATAAAGGTACTTCATCAATGCCAATGAAACTGTTGTGCACATAGGAAAGTATTTTTAGTTGTTTGTATTTTCTACAGTTAAGCTGCAGAAATGTATATTTAAGCAANTGAAAAAAGATATAAGGACTTGAATACTCAACTTTTTAATAGTACTAGTCTGTATTCTTGTAGTGTTTCATTATGATACCAATCTAATAAATGTTTTTTAAGTTTAAACCTACTTTGTATATTATAAGAAAGTGCATATTTAAAATTATAATAAGTATCAAAATTAATTGTTAATATTGATTTATTTCAATTAAGTTTTTAAGATGGATTCACTTAGACTAAGCTGAAAAAGGTCAGATTTAGTTTTCAATTGATTTATGAATCTTGAAATGATGATAAAACAATTCTTTTTATCCATAAAACAATATATTACTACCATTTTAAGGGTTTTCATAATTACAGATAATGATAAATTTAATCAGTATAGAGGAGTTAAGATTTGATTTAATTATTTGTAATCTTATCAATTAGTATTTAGATTAGTCAAAAGCAAAACAAAATGACCTTTATCTCTTATTATGATTAAAGAATATATTGATAAGTCTGATGCACGTGTATAAAAAATTTAATATCAAAATTTCAAAGATTATTATGTAAGTGATAATAAACTATTAATTTTTGATAAGTTGAATAGGCTTTATCACATTTTATCTATCATATTAATAATTGTAAAATTTTCTTACTTGAAATCATTTGTGATAATTAGAATTTAAAATTATTCAGTTTTCAAATTAAACAAAAAATATTACAAAATTGATTAACATTTAAATTAAATGAAGTAAATATGAAATTTATAAGTTTAATATTGATTTTAATTAAATTAGTTCAAAAAATTTTTAATCTAAATGAAATAAAGTTAATTTTATTTGAATAAACTGGAAATAACAGACAGCCTCTATGTAAACAATAACTTTTCAAAATAAAATGATCATTTAGCATATGGAATTTTCAGAAAGAAATAAGTTATTTAATTAGTAATGTTTACAATACTCTTTTAGAGATTAAACTTTGGATATCCATATATTTATTCTTGTATTTTCAGATTTATGCAGAAGAAACAATAATATTTTATAGCAGAAAAACAAAATATGATTGGAATAAATACTGCAAACAAATAGCTTAATAAGTTATAAAGAAATGAATTTTTTGAACAATAGTAATGACTCATTTTATTATTATATTTTGTTATCCATAATTTAGATATATATATATATATATATGGAAGGTATATATATATATACCTTCCATATGATTAATATGGTTACTTGATATATTAATTATCATCATCATCATTTAAAAAATATTTTTACTAGTGGGTAATTCAACTATGTATATATGTTCAAATTAACGTTATATGTGGATCAAGGTTTAAGTGTTAGAATGAAATTGTAATTTATTTGTTTTATTATTAGGTATAGTTCTTAGCACAAAATAAGACTTTTTTTTTTTTAATAAGAGAATTTAATTTCTAATTTCAAAATGTCTCAAATATTCACTATTTAAACTTTTTTATTATGTGTAAGGTAAACGCACCGGTAGTGGACACTGCACGAGTAGTGGACACTTTGAACTTCAAATATGAGTAATAAGGTTGTAGATGGCTTCACTGTTCAAACATACAAATCATTGAGTAGACAAAACTTCTGTCTACTGAATGATTTATATGTTTGAAGTGTGAAGCCATCTACAACCTTATTACTCATATTTGAAGTTCAAAGTGTCCACTACTCGTGCAGTGTCCACTACCGGTGCGTTTACCTTA